TAACAGACTTGTACTTTTACGTCTTAGTCTTAGTTCTCTTCATGATAGGCTATCTGATGTCCTGGTGGAGCCAGGTTTACTTCCGAGGGGGGCAAAATACCTGAGGTTGCCCGAATTTCTAACTAAGTTGTGGTAATTTTGCCCGAAACATATGCCTTTAGGGGGGGGGGGGGGGGGAAAAAACCCACTACCCCGACGTTGGCTCCGCCACTGGTTGGACTCGGGAGTTGTAGGACAAGTACTCTTCATAATATGAAATGGAGCTTTACGTATCACTGTATATCTTCGTCTAGTCCAATAACATTAACTAATGGGTAACGTCTTATTACATGAATTTATGAATGTTTTCTTACGGGATATAACGGCTAACGAAGCTCCTACTTATACAATAGCCTCTATTCTTGTATCACGGATGCAGCGATTTGATTGACAGCCAATCAGTACACTAGACAGAATGGCTGTAAACATTATGGCTTCGTGTTCGCAGACTTTCTGTCGAGGACACTGATTGGCTGTATTCGCTAACGAATAACCAAACAAATCTCTTCATTCAAAACGTTCATGTTATAAGAAAGGTGACTATTACAGTCAAGGTATAAGATGAAGTTCTTTATAACTTGCCACTGTGGAAATGAAAATGAAAGGAAAGGGTATGAGGTACTATTTACTAGTCCAGTGAGACTAAAAAGAATTACATGGAATTATTTATTATAGTAGTTAGATGTTAGAGCCAGACTTGATTGTTCGGAGGGGCAAGTAATATATCTAGAGGGGCAATGGTGTATGGTGTTTAGTTACAGTAATGTAAGCTTCACGTCCTTCACCCCTCTGTAAGGAGACCATGATACAGAATAGAATTAAATATTACGACTAGTTGTCATATTTGATTATCACCTACTAATATACATTAAAAGAGTCAGTGTACAGTGGAAAAAACACTCCCGAGGGATTTCATGTTAATTAAAACCCACGCCCTGAAATATTTGATCACGAGGGGCATGTCTTGAGGGTGTTTCTGACGGAAAGGGTTTAAAATAACATAAAAACCCCAAGGTGAGCGTTTCATCTGACCTATAAATCGACAAAGATTTCTTGTTATGTATATCTGTTTGCTTAAAAACAATTAATAAGATAAAATAAGGGATGCAACTCCAATTAAACTAAAATTTCAACCACCATTTCGCAAATAACATCATTCTTAGTCTAACACAACTGGGAGTGATTGGAAATGAAATCAAATGAAATGAATGGAGTTTTACGTCCTACTTTTCTTCACCATGGGCTAATGAAGACGGGCAACGCTATGTAGGGTGCAATGAGGGAAATACACCTGCCTGTATCACTGGGGTCTTGGTTTATTATGCCACCCGAAAGACCATGTCAGCCCCTCTTACCTGCATCACTGATGAGGTAATATCTCGACCTATGCCGCGACTGAACCCTGGACCTTTTTAGATTAGAGTGCAATCGTCCAACTCACTGCAGAGATTGCTGTGACTGGAGTAAACCACTTTTTCTCAGAACTGAGTTTCAGTTCATGTGATTCTATAGGTATTATCGTGCGAAGGGACGCTATATATGCTATGTATAAAAAGCCTGCGATTACATACATATTATTCCACGTAGCTATCGGCACATGCGTAATATGCTAGGAATTTAAAAAAGGAGCCTATGGAATGATTTTTGTCATGGAATTTCAAGAACCGGGGCAAGCCGAATGGTGCAAATAGAATCACAAGTTTCCGAAATGAGTACTCATTTATTCTCTACAGCGGGTAACAAAGGGGATTTACGTTTTACCAACGATCGCATTCAGCTAGCTAGCAGATTATAAACTGTGATGGCAAAATGTGTTATACGGGTCAATCAAAAAAAGTGACCACTTCAATTCTTAATTCTTCATAAGATTCTGATATTTCTCTCGGAGGCAATAAGTTAGTTAATCGTGATTTTATTGATGGAAACAAACAATAAAACAGTTTGTGTAAACTAAAATCTGGATTGTATTGACTGACTTTTATCAGGCAAGCACTGCACGACTTGATTGAATAAATGAAATGAAATTGAGATCAAAGGGACAAAGAAACCACACATAAACGCCGGAAACGAATTTCAAGTAAATTGCCAAACGATCGACAGTGAAAATTCCGTTGGCGCTCTTCAACATATCACGAGAATGAATGGCAGCCAAAACTTTCCAGAACTATGCCTAGTTTATCACGTGATCACGTGATTCTGGTATTTCAGACATCAGAGCCGGGTTGTCCCGGACTACAAATGTTTGAAAGGTCAATAAAAACAAAAAAACTTTGAAATGAATGTTTGAATAGTTAACCGATAGTCACATTATAGCGTTACATGTACATGTAAATATCAGAATTAGACCCCCAGGGCCTCAGAAGCTTGGAATATATTCAGGTCGAAATATTACTATCACTTGGCACATCACTGCTTAATGCCGGAAGTAAAGACGAAACGAAATCAACCATTCATGACCGAGACAGATTCAGCTTTAAGGAAACTGTCGAGAATTACCGAATCGTGTGTTGCATAGTTTAAGTCTAATTACTTCCGGCTGCAAGGGAAAGGGCGGCAAGGGTTCGGGTTTTATATCAAGACCGCTTCGATTTATTCATGCAAAATATTGCGTATTGGTGTAAAGTTGTTACCCTTGTAGGCTATCCTGTACTCCATATCTGAGGGCGGACTGTAAGACAGTCGACTAGAGCGCTGGAATGTTTTTTTTATATCATAATCAGTCATTCTGGAATGATGATGTAGGTAACACCAATCGCGAGAGGCCTCATGAACCATTTTGGATATCAATTTGATATAAATGTAGCGTTGGGATGGGTTACAATAAACCTAGGACATGTGTGCTACAGAGTGTGCACATTCAAGATCCATCGACAGCTAAAATTCGAAAAAGGTTAGGCTAATGCTACTGTCCCGGCAAAATCGATCTCATTCCACACTGCATGAAGTTGCCCGTCTTCATTAGCCTTATTCGATGCAAAAGAGTAGGACTTAAAATTTCATTCATTTTTTTCTCCCTGGTTACGCCAATGTGTTTATTCGATCTTACCACCTACAACCATATCACTTCTATAACATATATTTAGTTGAATGACTGATTAGAGTAGACCTAAACAATCAATACCCAGGTTTACTTCGCTTCATTATTTTTCAATTAAACTTTTTAAACGAGATATCTTGATTAATGGCAGTGTAATGAATGCTAACTCAAGTGGCTATTTAATATTATAATAGAGCTAAAGTTATACTTGCGATAAGAATATTTTAAAGGGATACAGATGCTGACTTTTAGTCAAGCTACCAGCAACAATTTCAACATGAAACTCAAATTTAGTGTTAGTTTTTAAATGAATTTGTGCCTCACTGAAGTAATTAGAATTTATATATTTCAATATTCCCCTGGGTGACTGACAGCCTCGATCCGAAAATCAATTTTTGGTGATTTGGGGTTGCTGCCTTCATACGTACCCTTTTAGTGGCTTTGTTAGGCTGACTGAAATCTTCTGAGTGTTGCTAACTAACTACCAAAATATAACTATCTGATTGTCTGGATGTGATAATCTGGGTATGACTATCTGAGTATGACTATCTGAGTGTGACTATCTGGGTGTGACTATCTGGGTGTGACTATCTGAGTATGACTATCTGAGTGTGACTATCTGAGTATGACTATCTGAGTATGACTATCTGAGTGTGACTATCTGAGTATGACTATCTGAGTGTGACTATCTGAATGTGACTATCTGAGTGTGACTATCTCAGTATGACTATCTCAGTATGACTATCTGAGTGTGACTATCTGAGTGTGACTATCTCAGTATGACTATCTCAGTATGACTTTCTGAGTATGACTTTCTGAGTATGACTATCTGGGTGTGACTATCTGAGTATGACTATCTGGGCGTGGCTGTCTGTGTATGACTATCTGAGTGTGACTATCTGAGTGTGACTATCTGAGTGTGACTATCTAAGTATGATTATCTGAGTGTGACTATCTGAGTATGACTATCTGAGTGTGACTATCTGAGTGTTGCTATCTGGGTGTGACTGTCAATGAGTATGAGTATCTCAATATGACTATCTGAGTGTGACTATGTAAGTGTGGTTATCTGAGTGTGAATGTCTGAGTATGACTATCTGGGTGTGACTATCTGAGTGTTTCCATCTGAGTGTTTTCATCTGAGTATGACTATCTGAGTGTTGCTATCTGGGTGTGACTATCTAAGTATGACTATCTGAGTATGAATATCTGAGTATGACTATCTGAGTGTGACTATCTGAGTGTGACTATCTGAGTGTGACTGTCTGAGTATGACTATCTGGGTGTGGCTATCTGAGTGTGACTATCTGAGTCACTGATTATCGGAGTGTGAATGTCTAAGTGTGACTGTCTGGGTGTGGCTATCTGAATGTGACCATCTGAACCCCACTATCACAGGAATATAAAATGTATTACACTTTTACTAAGTTTTCTGGCTATGATAATAACTGTTGTATACCCCATAGAAAGTATGGTAAATAAAAGTGTCAGATCGAAACACCCATATCTGAATCTTATTCAAGTTACTTAACATTCGTTTGGTCGGACATGAATTAAAATGGTTTTAGTGTTCCGGTTACTGACTGGTCAATCACTAAAATTGATATCAGATTTAGTTTTGTTATCCAATCGGATTACTGTATTTCTATAAATATGGATTTTTATCTAAATTACGTTTTGTGGAATAAATCTCCTGGTTGTATCTCATAACTTTGACCTATATAGTAGTGACGGGAGTCGCTAGCATCTATGCTTATCTTTTCGAAACACCTGGTGGTACTTCTCTTTGGAGGAACCACTACTATACAACCTTTACCCCTTTGCCAAACTTCGGACAAGATGTTAATTAATGGAATTGTCTTGCTTGTGTGGATTTTTATTGCCTTTTCCGGATTATCCGAATTCTGACTGTAGTAACTCTTTTCTAAATTTGACGATGATCAGATATCTGTTTTAACAACTGATTGGTTATTTTATACGCTTGTTGTTTCAACTCCTCACAAGATTCAGCTACCAGATGACAGCGACAAATTGTCCTACCATATTTATTATAATCCTGTTTCACGTAATCTCCTTCATCAATATACAAATACACAGAAAACTTTCCTCCGTGTTCTTTTTTCAGAAGGGGAATCTGGGAAAAATCAAAGATGTCTGTCGCTGGACCGGAAATACACGTTTTGATAAGAAAAAATCCACTAGTACTGTGTTGAGATGTTATAATCGGACGCTGGATATGATCGGACTCCCTTAGAGATACCAGAAATGCGGCTTCAAAGTTGCTGTTTACATTCATAAAATCATACAAGTAAAATAGGCCTTGAGATATTCTTTTGTTGATCTCGATAAGTTCGATGGCGACTTTCCCTGTTTCTGGGTCAGTTGTCACCCAAAGATCGACATTAAAAAACACAGATCGAAGATTTAAATTTGAGCAAAATTTTTGAACCAATTTTTCAATATCGTCCAGAACGTCTGAGGGAGTGGTTGACGGAGTATAACGCAGAAAATCACAAGGAACTGGTTTAGAAAAACTCAAACCGTCAAAGTGTCCCCATAGATGAAAGGCACCATCTTGGTCTACCCACCCCTCTGTTACCATCATTTTGCTATCTTCCACCAATTCTTCGACTAGCACAATATTTTTTATACTAAGAGGAAACTTCTTAATATCTAGATGTTTGAGAAACATCGATTTGAACATATCCTGGATTGGATTTGAAGATTTTTTAATTTTAGAAATAGCTTGAATCATCTCGTTCTCGTTTCTTACCACAAATTGTCCGTAACCACCAGCAAAATATGGTGGCTTGACGTAAGCAGGATATTTTATTTTTACTTTCCAATCGTCATTATCAAGATCAGCAGCAAAATACCAGAATTTAAAATCTAACTTGGAGAATATTTTGGTGTAATATTTGTGGTAACAAATAAAACTGGACTCTATCTTACATCCTGGTAGACCTGTTTTTTCTCGAACGATTCCAGCAACAAGATCACCTAAATCAGTGGCAGCAAGCACCTGCTGAATGTTATTGTCCTTGACATATTGTACTGCTATCTCTATATAGCCTACAATATCAAATTGAAACCCGTCCTGTACGTCTATCGATAGGAACAATGATGGTAAAGTCTGTCCTTCCTGGTCCAGATGATGAAAATTATATTTCTCCGTTCCCAGAAGCTCCCTGTAAGCTTTAGTTTGATCTTTTCTTCTCAGTATAAACAAAACTTCTTTTTTCTCCATGATTCTGAAATGCACATCAGGGAAAGCATATAGACACTCATCTGATAATCAACTAATTCTGCTCTATCCTTATTATACTTTAAGGTGACTTGGGCTAAAATCTTTAGCAAAATGTATGTGTATGTCAATCATATATCCTTCAACGATATAGGGCGATTTCATTCCAGAAAAATTGAGATTTCGTGCATTTGAAATTGATTGAAAAGATTCTAAAGACATCCAGACCAAAAACAGGCTTATACTTACGTTTACGGTTTTCAAACTTGTTGATCTGCTTTCCAATCTTCTAAAGATGTGTTAGTACTTATGTTTAGAATTCCCCTTTTCAAAAGGAGTAACAGCTTTTAATTTGAACCTTTTAGTCGTTTGCAATAATTGCAGTAGGCTAACAGGTTGACATAAAGGGGTAGTGCCACTTATATTTTCACAGCAAGAAGGATCCGCGGTGGGTTGATAATTTAAACTTTAAAGATGAGTTTCCTTATTTTTTAGAGTCAAATTAAGCTAAATATTTCATTAATTGGTGTTTCTAATGAATTGTTGTGTATTCTTAATCATATCATTATATTCTTATTGCATATAATTAAGAGTTTTAACCAATCATAAATGTCTATGTATGTACAGTCTGGATAAACAAAAAAAATACTTTTTGACCTTTCTTAATTAGAGTTCTGTTGATAATTCTCTTCTAGTTTAGCTAATTATGAATTAATTATGTGAAACAAACTGGTATTTTTCCAAGTCACTAGAACACCTCTACTTTCTATTCATATAAGTATAAGCATTTTCATAAAAAGGGAACCCATCTTTAATGTAGGTAACGTATAGTTATGATATACCGACAGCCAAGAATTGATGTACTGTATTATCTGTGTTAGGTTTTTACACAGCTTGTCCATATTGTATGTGAATGCAATATACATTATACAATTTTTGCAACAGTAGCATATTTCAGGAAGGAGGTACAAGTCCTTTCACCGCCCATCTAATGCCCCCTTCCTTTTACAATTGGTATCCCTGTGTGAAATTCAGACATCGGGTGACTTTTAGAAAGATGTTGGTTGACTGGACAAGGTAATTGTTTAAAATCAATTATAGTAATGAGGTTTTTTTTTTATTAAAACAACTCCGTTAGATATACACATGAAAGGTAAGTTGTATTTCTGGAATATGGAAATGGATATAGATAATCCGGGAAAGATCAGTGCCATATAAAGGTTTGGCCAAGGACCATCTGGTAGACAGGATCTTCGTGAACCTACGTTGTTTTCTTTATAAAAAAAGTCATTTCTTTTTTATTACTTTCACTGGACTTTCCAGTTATCTGAAGGTCTTTTCTTGTCAAACCTCAATGGGGATACAGATTGAAATAGTCCCGTTGTTTGATGATCTCTACCTGTCAAACTTCAGTAGAGACATAGTCTGAAATAGTTTTTGTTTGTATAAACAATATTTATTTACATAATAGGATTAGGGAACAGGCTTTCGCCTATAGAACCCTCTCCCACCCTCGTCTGAAATAGTTCTCTACTTGTTAAACCTCAGTAGGGATACAGATTGAAATAGATCAGCTGTCTGTAAATCACTACTTGACAAATTTCAATAGACACAGACTGAAATAGTTCCATCAATTTTGTGCGATTCTTTGGTAAACTGGCATATTCCTGCGAACACCTTGGCCCTCGCTATCTTCGTCTCGCCAAATCTCTGCTAGCGGCAGAGTTTCAGATGGGCCCCAGGGTTGCCTCCTGTTTACATTTTCAGCCATATCAAAGAACACAGATATAATTGCAGACACCAATTCCAACGATCTACGCTTGACAACGGAAAAAGGAAAGGAAACACTGTCTACGCATGTGTCGGACTCACCGATTCAGCTGTATCGCTATAAGAATTCTCACACTTTGTTTTATCGTTGTGAGATAAAACGGTACAGCTGGAACGCAACGAAAACGCTAAATTTGGCGATCTACCCCTAACGTTGGGAAAGCGTTATAAGAAGCGTTGTGTGTGAATAGCTATATCGTTATAATTTTGAATATTATAACCCTAGCGTTATAAGGCTTGTGTATGAACGCTGCTTATTTTAAGTCGTTCTTCTCAAATAGGCTATATTCTGCGACATGAAAAAGATTGCAGCAAAATCCTAAGATAAAATCACAAAATAATAAGGATTTATTGGGGGAAGAGGGTTAATGAAATCGATCAAGGATCCTGTAAATAAGGAAAACTATAGCGTCTAATTAATCATCTATTTCGAAACCCTCCCCAAACAGAATTGCTACTAAAAATGTTATAACAATTAGAATTAAAAGCTGAGGTTGATCTAGAGCGTTAGATTAGCTAATTTTTTAAATGTATTTATCATGAATCTATGTGGTGCATACAAAATATGAAATTATATTCAAATTACTTGTCGTGCAGAATAGAATTAAATTAGGCTTAATTTTATTGGATGCTTGATTGTTTCCATACAGGGGCGGTATCAGTGGGGATACAGGCATTCGCCCTATACCTAGGGGGCCACATTTTGATTTCAGCTTCGACAGTTGCCCTCCATTGAGTCAGTCTGACCCCTATATGTACCCCCAGTCTCGGGAGGTCTCTGTTTGCACAGTATAAATTGACATTTGCACAACCAGAAAAAAACTACTTTCAGTTTATAATAGTATACGACCAGTTTCAGATCTTGATAAACACTTTTCAACATTCGGTTTGTGAACAAATAAGATAAAAGAAATTAAAACATGAAAATAGATTTAAGAATAATGGCCAGTATGCACGAAATAAAATCAAATCAAGAATAGAATTAGTTTAAATCTCAAATGCAATTATATTATATATATTAAGATATAATTCTATTTATTGTTTTTACTTGCTAACAATTAACTAAATATATTTATCTTTAATGTAATTGAAACCGTATTTTCCATTCGAAGCACACACTATACCAAAACCAAAAATATATGCGACAAAAGAGTCTTTAAGTTAGGTCAACAAGACATATTTCATTTTTGACATTTGCGTCACTGTCGTATTCAGTGACGATTTTGAAACTTTATGGACTCTGAGAACTATTGTGAATATTCAGTTAGATAGAAGATATCTTTATTTTTATTTTTCTCCGAGGATGGAACAAATAAATGGTAGAATAAATGTGATATGAAATCCATTTGTTTCATTTTTTCAAAATAAATGTGCCATGCAGTTGTCTAGTAGTAGTTATTCGGGCAGAATAGAATTAAATTAGGATTAGTTTTACTTGGTGCATGCGGGCCAAAAAAAAAAAAATAGATTAAGAATTAAGAATATGAAAATAAAATTGAAGATAATGGTCCGTATGCATCAAATAAAATCAAAATATTTTTATATCTATGTATCTACTTGATCAAATTGAATTTTGTTAAAAGGGTTAATTAAAAACTGAGAGTAATAATTGTTAATTAAGCCAGTTTCGGTGATTGGCGTTAAAATAGCTCGTTATATTTAATTGGAATCTTTTGAAAACATAGGAGATATATTTCGCTACAATTAGGCGTTTATTTTACTCAAATCCGTACAGTGGACTACTCTCAAGCCAGCCGGGTGATGTCTGGTGTTTATATACACAGGCAATAATACAACAGAATACCACATCCAAGCAAGATTATAACCCAGAGTAGGTTGATGTCTGGTGTTTATATATACAGGCAATAATACAACAGAATACCACATCCAAGCTAGATTATAACCCAGAGTCGGTTGATGTCTGGTGTTTATATATACAGGCAATAATACAACAGAATACCACATCCAAGATAGATTATAACCCAGAGTCGGGTGATGTCTGGTGTTTATATATACAGGCAATAATACAACAGAATACCACATCCAAGCTAGATTATAACCCAGAGTTGGTTGATGTCTGGTGTTTATATATACAGGCAATAGTACAACAAAATACCACATCCAAGCAAGATTATAACCCAGAGTAGGTTGATGTCTGGTGTTTATATATACAGGCAATAGTACAACAAAATACCACATCCAAGCTAGATTATAACCCAGAGTAGGTTGATGCCTGGTGTTTTTATATACAGCCAATAGTACAACAGTGGACCATTCTCTAGATTATAACCCAGAGTTGGTTGATGTCTGGTGTTTATATATACAGGCAATAGTACAACAAAATACCACATCCAAGCTAGATTATAACCCAGAGTAGGTTGATGTCTGGTGTTTTTATATACAGCCAATAGTACAACAGTGGACCATTCTCTAGATTATAACCCAGAGTAGGTTGATGTCTGGTGTTTATATATACAGGCAATAGTACAACAAAATACCACATCCAAGCAAGATTATAACCCAGAGTAGGTTGATGCCTGGTGTTTTTATATGCAGACAATAGTACAACAGTGGACCATTCTCTATATTATAACCCAGAGTCGGGTGATGTCTGGTGTTTATATATACAGGCAATAGTACAACAGAATACCACATCCAAGCTGGATTATAACCTACATTGCAAGAGCACAAGTCCTCTCACCCCTCCCCTAATGCCCCCTCCCCTTTACAATTGGTACCCCTGGGTAAAATTGATGACACCACAAATAATATTTATTGTACACAATCATCAACCCAGACATCGGGTGACTTTTAGAAAGGTTGTTAACTGAATCAATTAATTGTTTAAAGTCAATTATAGTAATGAGTTTTTTTTATTATTAAAACCACACCGTTAGATATAAACATTAAAGGTCAGATATATTTTTGAATAAAGAAATGGGTATATATAACTCAGGAAGGACTTGTAGATAAGATCCTGGATCACCTTTGTTATTATCCCTGAAAACGTAGTTGTTCTTTCGTTGGACTTTCCATTTATCTGAAGATCTGTACTTGTGAAACATCAATATGGATAAAGAGTAAAAAAGATCAATTGTTTGAATATCTCTACTTGTCAAACTAAAATAGGGACACAAACTGAAATAGATCAGTTGTCTGAGAATCTCTACTTG